TTTTCATCATAGCTGAATCCTCGCAAGTGGGCCTTTGATGGACCTCGGACGTTAGAAGGAGGGGCCTCGGAGTAATAGCGAGGGCCTCGGACTAATAGCCAGGGCCTCGGAACCCACAACTGAAGCTAGAGAATTATAACCTGATCGAATTAAGCTGGTCCCACCATCGTGATGTGACGCCACGTGTCCGTTCTGTCCTTTAACCCGTAACAGTGACTAACTATGGTACATGGGCAATGGATGTTGGTGATGAGGTTTTAGTAGCACTGGTGGTGGATTGATGGAGCAATCATGTTACATACACATCATTCTTGACATAATACTTCGTGACAACCTATAACTTATATTACAATTCTATATAACTTACAAAAGATTCTTATAAGTACATTGTGAGCTTGGCCATTGATGTTCTGTTAAAAAAGGTCATGATGCGTGGTGACCTTTTAAATTAAAAGTGACATGTCATTTTCTAAAATCAAACATCAATTCACATCTAACACACCAAAAATTAACACTATTGGCTAAATATTAGTTTTAAGAAGTTCTTATTAGAACATCGTGAACTTAGCCAGAGATTTATTTAAGAAAAAGTCAAATGACATAATGTATGACCTTTTAATTAATTAAAAAGGGATATGATATGTCACTTTTAATGTAGAACCTTAATTCACATTCAACGCCGCCACGTAAAGGGTTCCTATAAATACATTTAAAGTTTAATTCACGATCTAAATACCTTATTGTACCTGTAAATATACTGCGTGTGGTTGTGACTTTTTGAAGGCACAAGCTGGAATCAAAGAGGTACACTTCTTGCCCTTTAACCCGGTTGAAAAGCGCAATGCATCACCTACATTGACTCTAATGGAGACTGGCATAGAAGCAGCAAGGGCGCTCCAGATCAAGTTAGATAATCATAAAATTGTATAGCTGTAGAAATAATATATAATGTTTAAATGTCTAATAGCTAACCTTTTTTTGTAATTTGAAAGATCATTGATCTATGCGAACTCAAAGGAGATTCAAGGAAGAAGGCCCACGATATCATCGATAATTTTGCCAACCGTGGTCTTCATTCTCTTGGTGTTGCACGACAGGTGAGCTAGTCTACAATCAAAGTATGAAATTATTCACAAAAGGATGAAACAAACTAATCGAAGATAATGCATTACTAAAGAATGACAATATCGTATTTTTTAATAGACTATTCTAAAGAAAACTAAAGAAAGAGCTGGTGAACCTTGGGAGTTTGTTGGTTTGTCGTCTCTCTTTGGCCCTTCAAGGCATGACAGTGCAGAGACTATTCGTAAAGGTCTTGAACTCGGTGTTAATGTCAAGATGATCACAATTCACAGGTGACCAGCTTGCCATTGGCAAAGCGACTGGTCATAGTGTCACGGGCAGCAGCTTCACTTCAGCCCCGGGCCGCTATCGCAGCCGCTGCACTTCGGCTGCGCCTAGTAAATATTTCATTTAATTGTTATAT